GAATAGAATAGAATAGAATAGAATAGAATAGAATAGAATAGAATAGAATAGAATAGAATAGAATTCTTTATTGGCCAAGTGTGATTGGACACACAAGGAATTTGTCTGGGTGCAAATGCTCTCAGTGCACATAAAAAGAAAAGATACATTCATCGAGAGTCAGGAATCATCAGGTACAACACTTAATAGGGTACAATAAGCAATAGAATCATACTAGGAAACAGTCCATATAGATTGTAAGGATACAAGCGACAAAGTCACAGTCATACAATCACAAGTGGGAGGGGATGGGTGATAAGAAGTAATTAGAAGATTAACAGTAATAGTAGTGCAGACTTTATAAATAGTTGGACAGTGTTGAGGGAATTGTTTGTTTAGCAGAGTGATGGCTTAAACTGTTCTTGTTCTGGTGTGCAATGCTCTATATTTTGAGGGAAGGAGTCGAAAGAGTTTATGTCCGGGATGTGAGGGGTCTGTAGATATTTCCACAACCCTCTTTTTGGCTCAGGATGCAGGACGCAGGTCCTCCATGGAAGGCAGGTAGGTAGGAATGGTTTTTTCTGCAGTCCTAATTGCTTTGGAGTCTGTGTCTGTCTTGTTAGGATATCCTATACCAGTGGTTGCCAACCAGTGGGCCAGGGACCATTGGTGGTCCGTGAGAAAATGTTGGTGGTTCAGAGAGAAATGTCAGCCCCAAAGCAATTAATCCAGGCTGCACGGGAACAAGGCTGCGCCGCCCACATGGCCCGTGGGAACACAAGGCTTGCGTCGCTGCATTGTGAACAACAGAAGGTAGTGAGGGGAGGGGGAAAAGGATGGAGGGGGGAACTTGCCCTACTTGCCCCACACACCTTCTTTTGCTTTTTTCTTCTGTTTTTGGCTGCACATAAGGAAAGCAGCAAAAGTCCTTCCACCTCTCCCCCAAACTCCGCCAGAAATGAGTCCATGGGACCCTGCAAGGCATCATGCTCTAAGAGGCTGCACCGGCACAACAAGTCTCACAAAGACTCATCTCTGGTGGAGTTTGGGGGAGAGAAAGAAAGACTTCTGCTGCTTCTGCTGCTTTCCTTGCATGGAGCCAAAAGTCTCTCCCCCCTCCCCCTGAGAATGGAGCTGGAGATGATATCCTGCGATCCCAAATAAAAAATGATCAATCAGTAGGAAAGCGGGGTGGGGAATTTTCCTACAGACTTTTTTGGGGATTTTCCTAGGGTGTCTGGGATTTAAAATTATGAGTTTGGTGGTCCCTGAGGTCCAAAAGGTTGGCGACCCCTGTCCTATACTGTTCCAGACAAGTGACTGTCCAATCTCTTCTTAAAAGCCTCTGGTGATGGAGCACCCACAACATCTGAAGGAACGCTGTTCCACTGATTAATTGTCCTCACTGTTAGGAAATTTCTCCTTAATTCCAGGTTGCTTCTCTCCTGGATTAGTGGTTTCTTGTCCTCCAGTGCTTTGGAAAATAAATTGAGACTCTCCTCTTTGTGGCAGCCTCTCCAATACTGGAAACCAAATACTGTATTCCAAATAAAGCAAAATAAAACCAAATACAGTACCCCAAATACTGGCTTCGTTCCACTGGACGAAGCCTGATCTTCGTGAAGAATTACTTTTGATGTGCCAAGACAACCTCCTGGGCATTTAAAAGAGCAAGGCAGAATCTACACAGGTTCAAGGAGTCCTGAACACCTTGGCCCAGCCCTCACCCCACAAAAGCTAATAACAAAATGACATTTTTAATGTGTGGGAAGTCGTGATTAGAGAACCATCTTATCCATTATATTTAGTTAATATCATTTAAGTTAAGTTCAATCTAAATTACTGTTTGACCTTAATCTCCACTTTGCACTTGCAGCTCTGTTTTCACCTGGCTGTTCAGAGTTCACAAGCTGATACAAAAAGGCGGGCTTGCGGCTCACAAAAGATATGCCATTTTAATGGACTTCTCCTGTTGTGTATAATGGGGACAAGAATGTGCATCCTGCCTTAGAAGTAAGCCTTCCAAACCCTTTAGGTTTACTTTTGCTGTAGCAGAACCCCGTTTTGTACAACACATGCATTGCCCTTTCAGAGAACGTGAAGCCACAGAGACATTGGAATGGAACTGAGAACACAGTTGTGGTTAGTATTTGGGAAGAATCCAGAAAGTTAGGCAAAGGGAAAAGGCACACTGGCTCTTTTCCAGAGATGGACTGCAGCTGGCTCTTTTCCAAGTTCCAAAAAATCAGTTGCTTCTTTGGGGCTCAGCATGTAGCTTTAGCTCCCCCCCCTCCCACTAAAGGGTCAAGCAGCGCATAGGGGTTCCATTTATATTTCTGCAAAAGTAAGGTTCTGGCTGGGGGCCCCTCAAACAGCAAAGTACAGAACAGGCAGTCGGCTCAGCCAGTCAACACACAGGACGCACACCTATACACAACACACAGTTGGGATTTGAGAGATGTGCGTGTCAGCCTGTCTGCAGCCTTCTACAACCTGTGCGTACCCATCCTTATGCAGTGACACCTGGGTGTAATAGCGGTCAACACTAAATTGGCCTTTATGCAGCCGGCCAAGGTCAAAACCGGCGAGCTGCGAAAGCGCTTCCTGCTCGTGGCCACCAGGGGGCGCTGACAATGAGGCGGTTCGATCTTCCATCTTTAGAGATCAGCCTCGTAGAAGGTAACATAGAGATTGCGAGGCCGTTGTTTCTTCTTCTGCAGAGCAGCGCTGTCCTCTCCCAAATGGGCAAAAAGCAGTGACTTTATTTGGGCTCGAACGTTGCTGTTGAGGCTTCAGCAGGTTTCCTCTATGAATGTCTTTGAAAGAGATGAAGTCGTATCTTTCAAGATCCTGGAGCAACAGGGAACTTCCAGAGCACTGGAAAATTGCTGGTGCGGTTCCAATCTTCAACAAATGAGGGGGGGAAATGGATCCAGGGAACTGCAGCCCAATCAGTTTGACATGTTCAATACCTGGGAAGATCCTGGAAACACAAATAACGGATCTGCAAGCTCCTAGGAATAATTCTGGGAGTTGAAGTCCACCAGGCTTCAAGTTGCCAAGATTGGAGACCCCTGCCCCAAGGTGCAGGTGCTATCCTGTGGGGTGGGGATGGGACGGGGCTGCGGCGGCGGTGGTGGAACCATGGGAATTCCAACGTTGGGGAGGGGCTCCTCTGCATGGCGTCAGGAGCCTCTCGGCCTGCCTTGCACCGTTTGGGGGTGCAAAATGCCCGCAGGAGCACCCGTAGAACGTGGCGCAAGTCGTTTTCGTCCCCGGAAGCTGCCTATCAGAACGAAGGGGTGGGCGCCTCTACACTTTCGGCCTTCTAATGATGCACTCGCCTTTCACGGCCCCGCCCCCTTCCTGCGTGAGTGTCGCGAAACGCGAGCCTTGCGCGACGGCCGCGGTGACGTAAAAGCCGCGCAAGGACGGCGGCGAGGGAGGAAGCGCCGGCGCCGCTGCCCGAGGACAGGTGCGGGCAGGGGGCACCGGTGGGGAGGACGAGGCTGGATTCGCACGGCCGGTGGGGGCCGCTTCGGGCCGGCATTGCAACCCCCGTCACTCCCAGCAGGTGGCACGGGGGGGGGTGTCCCGGGCGCGGGGGAGCCGCGCAGCCCTTTCCAGCCCCCTCCGTGGGCGGGGCGGGGGTCTCGTGCCAGCCCCTGGGAAGACATGGGGGGCGGCGGCGTCGGAAGGGGAGGAGGAGCCGCCGCCGCCGCAGTCCCGGTTGCCCGCAGGGGAGACGGTCATCGACAGTGAGTGGGTGGGTGGGAGGGGGACACTTCAGCAGCCAAAGTGATTGGCACCTGTCACTCAACGCCTGCCGACGGGGAAGTCAAAAGAGCCTGGAGAGGAGAGGAAGAACGGGAGAAAACAGGAGAGTCTGCCAGTAGAAGGGCCATGGCGGAGGCTAGTAGCCAGAGCGGCCGGTGCAGCCCCCAAAGCCCCGGGGGCGCCACTTGGACACCCTCCGCCTTGGCAGAATAGCCATCGGTCCATTGCAAAAGGCAGGGCCCCCAAACGTGGCCCCTCTAAGACTTGTGGACTTCAACCCCCCAGAATTCTCCAGCCAGCAAAGCTCCGCCAGTCTTCAAGGGGCCAAGTTTGGGGGCCTCTGGCAAAAGGCAGCTTATTGTTGGAGAAGCACCGGATTGTCCCTGAGACAAAATCGTCAATGTCCCGGATTCTTGGGAAGGACTTGATGGGTGGAAAAAGGGGGAAGGAAAAAGAATGAGAATAATCAGCAGCAAGCCGGAGGGACTCCGGTGGAAGACCTGCTTAGAGGCAGAGCCTCCTGGAGAAAGCCAGTCTATCTGACTGCTAAGAGCTGATGGTACATAATCAGTGTGGTGTTTGATAAATGGGTGCAGCACAGATATATACTTCAAGTGGTTAAATGTCTCCCAGGATTTTATCTGGATACAAGCTGTCATGAGCAGCTATTAGAGCTTGAGAGTGGCGTTTTCAGGGTTTGAAGTAAATAAAATGGTGACAAAATAGATTTTTATTTCTGCAGTGCCTAAGACGATTCATCCCTGCATACGAAAATGAGGCTTTTTTGCCCTAGGGAACCCCCCTCCCCCCCTCCTGTTCCTTGGCCAGGGACATAATTCCTTCTCGCCCCTTACTGCCCCTTCTGCCTTTCAGCCATGCCACTGCTTGATCTCCAGAACCAGCTGGGCATTAACCTAGACAGATGGATGCTCCGCCTGAGTAGCAAGCAGCCCTTTCAGCAGCCCAGCGTGTGCCACACATTCGAGAAGGAGTGGCTGGAGTGTTCGGAAGGCATTGGGCTGACCCGGGCCAAGGAGGAGTGCCGGCTGGAGGCTGAGGATCTGGGGGAGTGCATGACCAGGCGCAAGATGGTGAGAGGACCATTGCTGGGAGGCGCAATGCCTCTTGGGAGTTCTTGAGTCATCCTCAGGGGACACAGCGTGCAGGGGGCAGGCGGGGCGGGCAGCGGAAAATGAATGTGGGGTGCTTCTTTCCCCAGGTGTGCCTGTCCCTGAAGCCTGCTTCTCTCTTAGGGGCACCTCTTGACTGGCTCACCCATTGCACTAAGCTCAAAGGGGGATGGATTGGAGTGCAGAGCAACTACAGTTACAGACATACGTTTTAAATATTTTGGCGGCTAACATGACCCAAACAAATTGCAGTCCCCTAAAAGGTTCAGCTCAACTAGGCACCGTGTGTGATCCTGAACCACCAGTGGGGGGGCGGGGGGGGGGCGGAGCAGGGCTAGAAATGGGAAAGCCAAGGGCTGCACCTCTCCCCTGCTTCATCACAACTGGAATGTGATGGGCAAATAGCTGGTTTCCAGTGTTGTTATTTTTTTCTTCCCTTTACTAGACATGGTAGCATTAGATTCTTCCTGATGACATCACTGGGCAGGCCCCTTGCCAAGGCCATAATAATCATCATTACCAATAATAGCAAAAAGTGTGTGTTTATTTGTGTGGGGGGGTGATATTAGATTGCAGTGACCGCTGAATTCTTTTCTGAAAAGTGAAAAATGTATATGAACCGAAGAGAAACCAGAATTCTGTTTGTGTGTGTGTGTGTGTGTGATAGGAATAATTGATTTCTGTGACTCTTTCCACCTTGGGATGGACAGGCGAGGCCTGGAGTTTCATTCTGAACCCGTCTTTTCTGCTCCTTTCCTTCGGCAGATGCAGCGTGTCCGAGCCATCTTGAAGCAAAGGGACTTAATGATCAAGGAGGGGAAGTACACGCCACCCACCCATCAGGATGACTGAGTTGGGCTGTGATCCCCAGGGAGAAAAATCCCTTTGCTGCCCTAGGAGCCGAAGAGCTCTGCTCTTAATACATTGCTAAAGAAGGATTTAGTGGGGACCTTTTCATTTCTCTCCTTTGGTTTCTAGTCCAGCCCATGAACAAATTCTCCTTTGGAGCCTGGAATGGTACTGGGTCAGATCTCTGCCTGCGTGATATCAAAAGGATAAATCGCCCCCTGGGAGAAAAATTTAAGCTACTAGAAAATATGGCTGCATAGTGTAAATAGCAACAGCCCTTAGACTTACATTGTGCTTCGCGGTGCTTCCCAGCCCTCTCTAAGCAGTTTACAGAGTCGGCCTATTGTCCCCCGACAATCCGGGCCCTCATTTTACCCACCTCGGAAGGATGGGAGGCTGAGTCCACCTTGAGCCGGTCAGGATCGAACCCCTGGCAGTCAGCAGAATTAGCCTGCATTCTAACCACGGCCCTATGAGGCAACTGTGGTGGGGGGTTTCTCTTAACGGTTTGGATAAGATTGCTTGTTTATTCCTGACTTCAGGATCGTGTACATACTCTCCTCCCACCCCCCATTTACTGAATGCCCGTGACTCAAGAGCCATACAGGAGTGGAGGATGCAAAATGGGTTTTCCCCTGTTTCTAGCCTAAGCCTTCAGTCATTGGGCTACACCAGGGGACCCCAAACTTGGCCACTTTAAGACTTGTGGACTTCCAGAATTCTGGGAACTGAAGTCCACAAGTTGCCAAGTTTGGAGACATCTGGGCTACACCTTTTATGCCCCAAGACTGATCTCTAGATCTTCCTTCCCCTCCATACTCCATGCCGGGCCCAGGGGGGGGGGGGGGGGGGGGGCATGACCTTTAGGTGCCAGTCAAACGTTGCACGCTTGGGAATTTCTCCTGCACAGTAATTCGGTGTTTCCCCCTGTGTCGGCTTGGACTTTTCCCACTTGGGCTCTTTCCCTAATATGACCCTGCTTACATGTTACAGTCTCTTTTATATCTCCCTCTCTTCCTCCCCCCAGCTTAGGTTGAACTAATTCATATTTTGTTGGCTGAATATCACTCCCAGCTGTCTTGATTCATCGTTCCTTCGTCATTTGCGCGGGGGGGGGGGGGGGTTTCCCTTTTTCCTTTCCGTTGTTGGCAGAACCAATACTTTCCATCCTCTCCTGGGATCGTTGAGCTTCCAGAGCCCAGTGTGACCTGCAGTGGGACAGAGGCACATCATCCTTGCCCCAAACGGAGCAGACTGTCTCTCCCCTCCCCCACAAGGGCTGGGTTTTTAGCATTTTCCCCTCTTGCTGATTTCCAGTGTGAGGCCTGTAACTTCTGAAACTGTTCTGAAACACTTGTGGATTCTAATCCACTCTGACCAGCAAAACTCACACTGGTGCAGGTAGATTGGGGCAGTTTAAAGGGAGAAATTTTAACATTTAAAAACATGTATTTCAAAGTGTACATGCCACTTCTTGCAACTCATTGCGGTTATGAAGGATTTTAGAAGTATGAAAGGGGGAGGTGTCTCCTTTTGTGGGTGGATCTCAGCCCCATTGCTTGTCACTTGGCACTTTTCTTAATCCAGAAAATGATGCCCATTCTTGAGTTATAATGGCTTGGGGATTCCATAGCTGCTTGTAGGAATAGGCTGGTTGGTAAGTCAGAGCAGATCCTGGGAGGACTGTTCCTCCTGAGAACCTGAGACACGATGCAAACAGCCGCAGCATCTGGATCCTTGGCCAGAGGCAGCATAGCTTAGGCTGGTCCTTGGATTGAGTTCTGGAGGGTCATCTTGCTGGGAAGATGGGTGCCTGGGCTATTTGGACAGGAAAAAAATGGGGCGTGCTTTTGTATCAGGACAGAAAGTGGACTGGATCTAGTGAGGGCCACGCCGGGCAGCTTTTGGGCTCTGAAGGGGGATGAGGCTTCTGGCAAGGTTCCTTCGCCAGAGTTCAGCCACTGGTGCTCCATAGCACCTGACACACGGCTGGGGCTTCCTCTGGGAGAACAGATGTGCTCCCGGTAGGACAGGCAGGGTCCCTCCTGCAGAGGCTCCCAAAGCAAAAGGCAGGCTGGGGATCCGGCCAATTGTGCCACACAACTTCCTGCCAGGAGAACTGTTGGGGCTCTTGGGCACCCAGCCTGGTTCTGCAGCCTCTTCTGTAATTCAAGGGAAAGGGCAGGAAACAGTGCAAAAACTCCGGGGGGGGGGGGGTTCTCATTTAAGAGTACTCTATGTGATGTGATCCTTTTTTAGAAAAACCTGCATATCTATTTCCAAGATCCTGGTGGGATATGAAACATCATAGAATAAACGGCATTCCAAATAAAGTTTTGGCATATTTTCATACTTGAGATATGCTCCAATACCCGAATCATTACATAATTGTGTCCCAGGGCTTTTCTGAAGCCTGCAGGGAGACCGCATCTCCCAAGCCGATTTTCAAAGTGTCCTCTGTTGTATTGGCACCTGGGCCAAGAGGTAGAGCAGGAGGATTGGCCCTCTGAACCTGGCCAGAATACTGCACACACCTGGCGAGGGACAATCCTCGCCTCCCTGGTTCTTCAGCTGCCCCGAGGAAAAGCTCTCTTCCCACAGCTGCCTCTGTGATATGGGGCCAGAGGCTGGGATCACCGCTGGGAGGGTGGGTCAGGGTGTGCAGTTAGAGTAGCCCAGCCTCTTTGCTGCTTTTGCTGCCCTGAGTGGCTGTGGGGGTGACCTCTCCCCTCACTCCAATAGCTGACTGGACTTGCACAAAGAAAGGAGGAGAAACACTCTAGGATGGTGCCACCCACCCCAAACCCAGTTCAGAAGGATACTAGGATCAATGCTACCGGTATGAAGCACTATAATTGACTACCAGGATGGGCTTACCACCCATTCCAGCTCCATCAAAGGTCAACAAGTGTCAAGCCCAGGTGGCTGAACTCACCATCGAGAGGATCTTGTCCACTGCGTTGGAAGTAACAGAATCAAAGTCAACCCTCATTGCCAGACTCTGCCATAGGCAACCCCCACGGACACGCCCAACTGCCAGGGAATCCAGGTATCTACCAAATTGCCTCCACAAGGCGTCCCAATAGATGTTCCCAGGGCTTGTTCCTCCCCAACAGGAGGCAGGTCATCCTACAAGGACCCCTGGGCAGCTTTTGTGGATGCAATAGAGGCAGAGAAAACAGGGCGCTTTGCTGCTCTTATTGCCATGAGGGAATTCCCTATAGGGGTTCCTACCTGAGGTCTTTCTTCCAGGTGGCTCTTTTGGCCTTTCTGAACTGCCCAGCAGATTCTCGGGGAAAGTGCCCAATGCCCCCTGGGACCACTTCAAAGGGCCCCTTCTATGCGCAGGTGGAGCCCTTGCCAAGGGGACCAGAGTTGGAGCCAGCTGCCGTTTTTGTCTTCCAGAGATGCCTTCGAGAGCAAAGTGTGCTTGGAAGGGCAGCCGAGGCCGGGAGCGAGGCTTTGCTTCAAAGGAAGCTGCTTTCCTTTTGTCTGAATTATTTGGGATCTAAAGAAATGGCCCACCCCATTTTCTCTTGGGGTCCTTAGGGGAGCAGACTCTGAAAGAAAAGCCAGGCTGAGCTGAGGGAGGGGTCTGCTGCAGCGTCCCCCCACCCCACCCCAGTGCCTGTTATTGTGCAAAGGCCTAGGATGGAAACTTGGGATTTAATTTATTTCATTTATTAAATTTATTTGCTGCCCATCTAGTATCGAGATAACTTGGGTGGCTTATAGCATTAAGACATTTAAAATCCTAGACAGTAAATATTTCCTGGTTATAGCAACCCTGCTTCGCTCAAGAGCACAGAAAGGTGGAAGTGGCCCTCTGCTGCGACTGGGCTCCAAGGTGGCCGCAGAGGGAGCAGCTCCTCCTGGATTGTCTTCTTTGCCTACATGCTGTGAACTGACCCCTGCTTTCTCTGGATGTGGCCCAGTGCTGCACGGCCCGCCTCTCCCTGCTTCTATATACAAATGTCTCGGAAATGGCAATTTGTGAAGTGCGCTTGCAATTAAAATGCTGCTGTCTAAGTCCATCCTGCTTGTTTTGTTTCCCCATGACTGATAATCCCCTCCCCAGAATTCCTTGGAAGTTCCTCTCTTTGGCCAGGGGCTTCCTGGGTGGATTCCTTACTGTGGTACAAGTGACTCCTTGCTTCAGGATGTTGACGATCCAGGTGTGCCTCGTTCATTTCCGGGAGGGCTGACACAAAGGGGTCCTTTCCCTTGCTGGGACCGGTGAACAGAAGACCCCCAGCAGGAAGGGAAGGTCAACTCCCGAGGGGCACATTTGCAAGCATCATGCAGGCGCCCAGCAGAGCGGTCCAAAGCCTTCTCGGGAGGAAAGGCTGAAGAAATGGGCTAAGAGCCTTTCTCTCTCTTCTCAGCTACAGTCCCTCTTCTGTACAAAAGGCACAATCCAGGGTCCCCAGTCCTCTTTTTTCAGAGCTCAAGCTTCCAAAACTTTGTTTTCTAGATTTGAGTTTGGAAACAAACTCTGAATTCCTTATTAAATGTTGGACCACTCCATCAGGCATCTTTCAAACACTCAATGTGTTCAGGATAACTTCTTTCGATGTGGCTATAAACTAGGACAATCGCTGCTCCTTCCATTTCTTATCACGGGAAATCTTATTTGGCCACTGCTCAAATTCCAGCAAGGATTACCCACCTGCTTTAAACGCTCATCTTTGCAAAACTTACAAACATGATCAAATTCTGCATTGTTTCACATAATTCTATGAGTCCTGCCTCTAAATCAGAACTCTCAGATTTTCTTCTCCTAAGCCAGGGGTCTTCAAACTTGACCACTTTAAGACTTGTGGACTTCAACTCCCAGAATCCCTCCTCCAGTCATGTTAGCTCAGGAATTCTGGGAGTTGAAGTCCACAAGTCTTAAAGCGGTCAAGTTTGAAGACCTTTGTCCGAAGCCAGCAACCACATTTCCCCCCCCCACTTTCTTTTTTTTTGCTTCCCTGAGGGCAACCTGCTTTGTCAGGAGTGAATTTAAAAGATGTAAATCATTTGGGGAGGGGGAAAGTGGCCATGAAGGAAGCTGTCAGAGTCAAAAGAGAAGGAAAGAGAGGGAAAGAGAAGCAGGCAACCTGCTGGTGGTTGGTGTAGTTGATGCATAATCTAAATAACCATTGGCCCACATCTGCCAGATGCC